TAGTGGTGGTCATAGTCGTAGTGGTAGTAGTAGCAATGCATACATACAAGCAATGCATACATACAAGCAATGCATTTGTTATGCAAACTGTGTATTAGACAGCCGATATAAATTTTTCGTGTACTAGCTACACTTACTTATCGATAGCACCAAAATAATAAAGTTGCTTTAAAGCTTCAAGAACCATTCGTTCCTCTGGTGGATCGATGTACTGGAACCTTAAAGAATAAGAAAATAATTCGGGTTAATGAAATCCCGTAACGTAACGTTTTGTTTTTACTTTAGACACTCTTCGAACGAACGCTTCATTGCCAGCAAATTGCATGACGTTAAGATCACGTGCGATATCAACTTCTGAAATTCACTTGTTTTTCTTGGCAACATTGCTATTAGAATCTCTCGTAAACATGAACTTTTGTAAGCGACAGGCATTGACAGTGTAAATGAGGTGTAACATTTTATCTGTGTGTGAAATGTTGTTAAAAATATCTTTTATCTTAATACACCAGTTTCTCATTCAATATATACCGCTATTTTTAAAGACCACAGGCTCATTTGCACAGTTTTAGCCTAGTTTATAAGTCAGCTATTCACAGATACCATTAAAAGTCCGTGAGATTTCAACCATTGGTATTGTTCAAGCTGCACAATCTTTACATTACAGCTGAATTTTGTGAATGATTTACTCTTGAACAAGGCTAAGCCTGTGAAAATTAGTCTTTAGTCATAAAACATAGCGGTATATACGGACTGAAAAAAGTGACTATTTGGAGGACATCGGTTTAGCACCCAAATAAATCATTGTCAAATTTTACAGTTTAGAGGTCGCAGAAGTAATGTTCACTAGTCTAGCTTTTAAAAATCATTTTTCAAGAATTAAAACTGATAACTCGAAGAAAGCATTTTTTAGACAAGAAACATAAGGTTGAGCAATAGAGAAATTGATTTCCTTATGCAAAATAACTTTGATAGATTAGATAGTTTTACGTTTCCTGTGGTAAAAATTCTTGGGAGTCTCTTGAGGTGAAGGAAAGGAAAATGTTTCCCTAGCATGCATTGCGCGCCTCGACCAACTACATTATCGCACTGAAAAGGCACATGATCTACTCCTTTTTGATTTGCTTTTAATGCAGAAACTTCGATTATGGAGTCGAGTATGAAGATTATAGAGGAAAATTGTGAGCCCTACTTCAGATCTTCTCTTTCTCTACTGTACACCACAGGAAGCCAATGGGATCAAAGGCATACGAATCATTCATACATTTTTGTGACCTCATAATATTTGCTCACCTGACAACATCGTTGATACCCATACACTTCAGATGCAATACAACTCTAGACAGACTTGTTCTCTGGATTTCAGGTACTGTCTCCTGATCCATCGAATTACAATATACTTCTCTGCATAAGGATAAAGAAATAAAATCCATCATGGCATAGACCATAAAGTTAATTTCCAACAAATTCCACACAATGTAAATGACAATGTTGTATTTGGCAGTACCTTTACAGTTTAATCATTATTATACACCTATTTTAATATACGTTGTCATTGTTAAAGGCGATAGGCGATAGGTTATACCGACATGAAAATGGTCCAGCTATTCTTGAATCTTGGAATGACCTATCTCC